TGTATGTCATATTTAGTGCTTACAGTAAAAGGGTGGATTTTGAATGCACTTGCCTGTGCTCCCCCCTGCTCGGTAAGGACGAGGCTTCCCGGTCAGAACCACGCTGATCAGGGTGGGAGGTCAGTCACGCTGCAAATAAGAACTGACGTTTCAAAGCCAGAGCAAGATTTCTGTTGTTAAGGAAATGTGCTCTAACAACGGATTTGCAGATTGCAGTAAGGAAAGAACATGTTTTTCATTTTTTTTTTAACTGGTGAAGTTCTTGAGCTTTATGGTGGCTGATTAACAGCTGAAGGGAGATTTCATTACACTGAATTTAAAAACTGTCAGGAAACTCAGAGGAAGGAATAAACATTACTTTTAATATCTGCAGATAAATCCAAATGTACTTACTTACTCCTGGTTATTGCTGAGTGCAAAACTCAGAAGTCACACCTCTGCTGAGGTATAAACCAAGCAAAGAGAATAAAAAGCATTTCAACAAATCCCACACTATACAATTTTGAAGACTACCTTTGACGCAAGGCTAAATGCTAGCTGGGCTGGGTAAAGAAAATGTTTTCCTTTAATTTGCAGAGCACCTACAACACTGTCCCACAGTTACTGCAGACAATGATCAATACATAAGTATTAAGAGGAGACAAAGGATCTCTCAAATTCCAGTATGTTGTTTGGTTCATCTTCTCCACAGTCCTGAAAGGGAGAGTGATAGAGTCCAATGGTTCAGGATACAAACGAATTGTAGAAGAGCTCTTGAAAAGAGCTAGATCTCCTCATAACTGATTTAAAATTTAAAACAGAATTGATCATATCTTACCCAAGCATATTGAAAGTACGATTCTACATCCAAAATAGAATCAATGCTATCCTTTGCTGACCAAAATGGAAGGGCATAAATTACTTTCCCTCAACAGTCTGAGGTCAAGAATGAGGGCTAGAAAAAACACGGGAAACAGAAAGACATGCGTAACAGGCACTCCAGGGAGAGAAAAAATCCTAGCTGGCACCCAAGACAGCATTCGTGCAAGAAATGAAAGAACTTATTGTCCCCTGGCATTGGTTCTCAGGCTCCAGCCTGCTCACTCTCGCGGCGAGGACGCTCTGCTGCACCATTGGCCCACAAAAGGAGAGGATTCTTCCTACTGACGCTACACTTCCAGATCCATATGGAATTAGCAGAGGCTTTCCTGACTAATTAAAACTTCATTGTCAACTTTGCAGCTTTGGTGGCTACTTCTTGTCCTTCTGTAACTGAAATCTAGAAGGTATAAATTCAATACATAGAAATAAACCACCATGGGCTCCGGTTCCTCTTTCTTCCAGACTATTACCCGCCTGAAACAGATAATATAAAATCTCTGTGAGAAAAGAAATGCAGTGGCTGAATCTTAAATGAGCTGTAACTTAATAGATGATTCAGTTACCTCCAGAGCGGGCAGGGATTCTTAAACATTTAAAGGTTCAGTGCCCAGAGAGTGGAAGTGAACGAACCTCTTGTCATCAAAATAACTAATATGTTATTTGCCATTGATTCAGTAATGACACAAACCCAGTCCTCTTCGATGAGGTCTGTGTTGAGAAAAACAAAGTGGTTTACTTAAGAGAACTTTGGTCTTCGCAGCTCAAAACCCACTTCCAATCACAGAGACAGTTCCTTTTCCGTTACCACAAGCGGTCTTGCTGTGACTGGTATTTTCTACAGGCCCAACCAAAGAGGGTGTTGGGGTAAAGAAGCCCTTCCTCCCTTTTGTTCATTCTTGGGCTGTGTTGCCATCCCCCCTCCCGCACTGTGCCAGTAGCCATACGCCCTCGGGCCTGACCTCCCCCAGCCACACTCGCTCGAAGTCGCTGCAGCGAGGTCTGCGCCTGTCCCAGGCTGCTCCACGTGCCACTGAGAGCGACATGAGAGGGAGGAGAGACAGTGGGAAATCTTTTTGTATAGAGAGCCATGTTCTCCATTAAGCCTCCTTGTTCTCTGGTGTTACCACCTGTCTCTTCATCTGATGGAAAATAAGAAAACCGAACTGTGTGACTGAAATTCAGCATGGGGCCAAAATCAAGATTTGGGAAATGCAGTGACACTACTAAAAAAAAAAAAAGGAAATCATTGGAGAACTAACTTCTTCTTACATTTAGATAATTCAGGCTTTAGTAAAACCTTTAAAATATATTATGATTCGTAGCACTAGAAAAATTAACTTTAAGCAGAAATTTTTCACCTTACTCCATTTACAATTGTAGAATGCTATTTCTGAAATTGTGTGAATGTTTAAACAGTGAAACTCAAAGTATAAAAGCATGAAAAGTTACTGCAGAGTTCCACATTTAATGACAAAATTCAGAGATATGTATTTTCTGCCAGAAATGTCTGATAAGGATAATAAAAACTGTTTATTACATATGTATTTATAATATAAATCTTTAAAATCATTACAGTTGCTCATATTGATACACGTTATGTCGCTTCCAAAGTATTTCAGTGCCTTGGTGCTACAAGCTGGTATCCTGTAATGGAAAAATACAAAGGAAGAGCAGCTTCCCATAAAGCTTACAGACATCAGCAGCAGGTGACACAGCTTGAACCCTAAAGACTACAGTGAGAAAGTCAGGGGAAAGCCTCAGATAAACAATGACAGTAATTTCCCTAAGAGAGATCAGAAAAAATACTGCAATTTCTTCAAAATTAAAAAAAAAAAAAAAAACCAAAACAGGTAATTCTAGATGGTGGCCTTCCTTGAGAGAACTTTGCTTGAAATTGGATGTTTTCAGCAGGAATAGCAGCTCTTTGCTGCTATCACTGTAAACGCAAATATCAAAGGCAAAAATCTATTTTTCAGTGTGTCCCTTGGACTTACCACCACATACCGATATTTCCATTTCCCTTCAGGACCGCTTTGCCATGATACAAAAAGAGAAACAGCTTTTGCATAATTAATGAAACACAGGATCTAAAAATAGTCCTTTTTTTCTTCTCTTTCCTGCCTACCCCTATTAAAAAAGCAAACGAAATCCTAACAATAGAGCTTGAAAGTTAAAGGGCCCTTATGTAAAGCCAGCTGGTCTGAGAAGAACAGTATGAAGCAAAAGGTATCACCGGTAACACACAGAACTCTCTTTGAATGACAAGATCTACACAATAAGGAACAAACAGTAAAAGTGAACAGAAATGAGAAAAAAGATCAAGGAACGTAAGTGGTCAGAGAGGTGAGGACAGTACCAGCATGTACCCGTCAAACGTGTAATATATTTTTAGCTATTTATGCCATAACCACCAACAGAGATGCATAAATTTCCTTCAAATTACTTTGGCTATAAAATGTTTGTTTTATGAAATAAAAAAACCCAAACCAAAATTCTAAGTGTCTTGTAAAGTGCTTCCATGTGTTTTATCTTTTTACATACATTTTCAATGAGCGAAACACTGCCAATATTCTTTAGCTAAAATATTTCCCCTTCCACTAAAATATGCACATACTTATACAAGAAAGGAATGAAAACTGAAGAACCTAGCATTGCTGGAAAGTATTTTGGAACATTGGTTCCTACTGTTTTTCCATCATAACAAAGGCCCAAGCCACTTCCATGAGATCTGCAAATTGAGGAGTCCTGCATATGCATGTATTTTAAATTCTTTTTATGCTGGAAGCTCAGGATTTTCCACCATATTCTCCCTTCCTTACACTTTTGGACACCGTTACGGGCTCTTAAGTACAGGGAAAAGGGCCTATAAGCAGAGCAGAAGGGGTTGCCATCTGTTCCTGCCTTATCTTTGAGAAGATATGAAGATAAGTCAGTACAGCTCCGTACAAAGACTTGTGTTCACAGGTTTTCGTCCTATGTTTTTCTAGTTCCTTTCCTCCTGTGCTTCTTCAGTTCTTTCCCACAATACAAAGTAAATCACCACGGGAGGATTGCTTTAGCACTTTCCAGACGGACAATTAAATTATCAGAGAATGTGAAGCCAACACATTCTTCACCTAAAAACACAGGAGAAAACTAACCGGGTGCTTGCTTTGACATCTGGTTTTCACCTTTGCACGTGAGAGGCACGAGCATTTCTTTCGTGCAGCTGAAAGCCAGGCTGGGCGTAAGGCTGCTGCGCTCTGGATCTTCAGGCTTTGAAAGGTCTCCAACCTCCACCCCAGCTAGTTGCTGTCACATGGAGAGAAGCGGGGGCAAGAGAAATCTAGCTGACAGAGGCTGCCGACTGCATGAATGGTTTCGCCTCAGCAGCTGACCCCCGGAGAGCCTGAAGTACCTACTACTTATTTTTAGGTATTTCACCTCAAACTGCAGCAGCCTGCGTTAGGCAGCGTGACGGCTGACACCCCCGCTCCTGCCTCCTCCCTGCGTGACCGCACACCGCCGGGACCGAGAGAACCAGCCGCCCCACGCACCGCGGCGGGGAGCAGCGCGACCGACTCGGTAATCTGTATGGCAGACCGTGAAGGAACGCCTTCCCTCCTGTCAGAAAAGATGAAAAGCTTTTGGAGTTACCGAGGAAATCAGGTTTCACTCAAGATTTTAAGCGCTTCCAACACACCCTCGCCCCCGAACCCTTGCGTGAGGCCTGCCCACCCTGCGCGCTCGCCCTGTAATGAGCTCTAGTTCAGGCAAGGGTGCTATTTAACGGATTTCGGGACCTTTTCACGCTCTCGGGGTGAGCCCCCCCCCCCCCCCCCCCCCCCCTTCCACGGACCCGGGCTCCCCACGGACACGCGCTCCCCCTCACGCCTTGCCCCGGCGGGTCCCGCCGCCTCCCGGGGCAGCGCCGCGCCTCTCCCCCTCCTGCGGCCGCATCCCGCCGGGCCCTATCCGGGGCAGGCGGCAGCGGGGACGGCGGCGACCGCTCCTTCCTCCTCTTCTTCCTCTTCATCTTCCTCCCGCCCATTACCCGCCAGGCCGGCCTGGCAGGTACGGAGGGGCAGGGCGCGGGCGGCGGCGAGGCGCGGCGGGGCGGGAGCGGAAGGCGGCGCCCCCTCCCTTCCCTTCCCCTCCCCTCCCCTCCCCGCACGGCGCATGGTCGCGGCGGCAACGCGCTCCGCCGGCCTCCCCTTTGGCTGCCGCGCACTGTGGTCTCGCCCGCCCCCGCTGCCATGTTGGATCGTGCGGCCGCCGAAGCCGGGCCGGAGTTGGAAGTTTAGCGCTTCGCGGAGGGGCGGGCGCGATCGGCCGCCGGCGCGGAGCGGCACCGCCGCGGCTGCCCCCCTCCCCGGCGCCCCCGCCGCGGGCCGCCGGCAGCTGGACGAGGCCCCGCCGCCCCTCCCCGCCTCCCTCCTTCCCCGGCCCCGAGAGGGAGGCTCCGCGATGCGGCTGCTGTGAGGCCGCGGCGGCAGCGGAGGAGGAGGAGGAGGAGGAAGGGGCCGCGGGCGCCAACGGTCGCAGGGCGGCAAGGACAGCGCCGGGCCGGCCCCGGCCATGAGCGGCAACCCGCAGCAGCAGCCCCCGCAGCCGCGGCGGGTCACCAACGTGGGCTCCCTGCTGCTCACCCCGCAGGAGAACGAGAGCCTCTTCAGCTTCCTCGGCAAAAAATGCGTGGTGAGTCCCGGCCCGCGGCGCTCCCACCCCGGCCCCGGGCGCGGAGGGCCGGGGACCGGGGCAGGCAGGGGGCGTGTGAGGACGGGCCGGCCGGGGAAGTTGAGGGTTACGGAAGTTTGAGCCAGCCCGGCCCGCTCCGCTGCCCCGTCCCGGCGCCCGGTCGGGGGGCGGCAGCCGCAGGCCTCGCCGCCTGCCCGCCCCCGCCCGCGGCACCCCGGGCGGTGGGCGCGGAGCGGGGGTGCTGGGGGGGGTTGGGGGGGCGGCAATGAATGGCGGCGGCCGCGGCCCGCAGCGCTATGGCGGGGCTCCGAGCCCCGGGCCCGGCCTCGCCCCTCTCCGCCGTGCCGGCTCCGGCCGGAGCCCCGCTCGCCGGGGCGGGCCCGACACCTCCCCGAGCGCCGGGGTGGGCTCCGTCCTTCTTCGCTCCCCTGCCCGTCGGCACTGAGAGCCCGGGGAGGCGGGGGGGGGGCGGCCGGTGGGGCTCAGCCCAGCCCCACAGCTGCCCCCCTTGCTCTGCTGGGGGAACTGGGCAGCGAGGTAACAGCCGAGGGGCTCGGCGGCAAAAGTTCAGTTGCTCGGCGGGGCTGGGACCAGCCCCAGGTGCACCTGCGGTACAACAAAGCAACGTTGCCGAAGTTGTAGGAAGGCTTGTATCGGTGCTAGGCCTGCCTTGGATTTAGTCTGGGCTCCTAACATAAACAACAGGCTCATGGACTCAAATGCAACTCAAATACTTGGTCTTTTCCTGTATATGTATATATACAACAAGGCAACATAATGGTTAAAAGGAAAAGCCCGGTAGTAAATGTGTTACCATGTATATCGGTAAGTTCTTTGTTTTCAGAATACCTTATTGCCTGCTAATATCAAACTGTATTAGAAATGCACTTATCCATATCAAAGAACTACTTGAAGGCCTCAAAAGTTAACCACTTTCTTTAGAAAAGAAGTGGCTTTTAGAAAAATCATTTTTTTGGAGAAGAAAAAGAAAGGGTAAAAAATGCCTTTTTTTTTTTAATAATCATTTAGAAGCCACTGAAAATTATGTTATCTGGCTGTCTTCTGATGCTTTGTGTCCAGCACTTAGCATACTGATGTTAAGCACTGTGCATCTTGCTGTAACACTGTGAAGAGTATTTAATGAACTTAAAATTGTGATGTAAAGCAGGATATCTGTGCAGTCATAATGGTTCCACATAACTATTTGGACTTTGAAATGGTATTGTTGATCAAACTGGCTGTAGCAAGGAAAGCATAAGATGTAGTAATGGAACAGGAAGTAGGTGATATTTACATTGGGGTGGGTTAAATAAGATGCTGTCACAGTGAGTTAAATGGGTCAGAAGGTATCACCATAAAGCATGCTTTTTGAAAAATAATAGATTTATACAAAACACCTTCAATTAATTGAACTACTTTCAGACACACATTACATATATTTAACTCCTTTGCAAAAAAAAAAAAACCCTTTTCTCTAAATTTAAAAAATGGTGCATGAATTTGTGTGAGTTGATTTTCAGTTTGTTTTTTCTACAACTTAGAATTTCTTGTCAAGTGAACATAGTTTTTGTTACGCTCAGCTGTAACACTCACCTACTCAAGTTCTCAACTTTGCATAAATAGCATGTTGAAAGCAGACTTTGGAGGTAAATATCTTCACAGTATCTGAGTGTCATGCAACTTGTGACAGGTTGATAGCTTCATAGACATGACTTGCTTTATTTTTCTTGAAACTATGCATTCTTGTGCTTTTCCCTAAATGTCAGTTGACTTTACAGTTGAGGTTCTTCTATTTGTGGCCCATTTTCTTCCCCTTTTACCCCAGCCCAATATGCTCTCTAGGTTAACCACAGGCTCGCCTTACTGTAAGTGAAGGTCTCTGCTTGATCTTGAGGACTTGAGTGTTAAAGCTCTAGAGTTATTTAACCAGGCTTTTTTGGCGTATTGTGGCATCAGCCAAAAATAGTGACAACTCAGAAACTAATTAATGATGAGATTGAACATTTCTGTCCCTTCGAAAGCCATGTCTATCAGAGGAGTGGAATGGGCACCTGGAGATGGTAACAGCTTTGGTTGCCTAACTTGGATCCACAATGTCTGTGTGTCAGAGCCCAATAGTACTCTTGATACTCTGGACCTTCTCGCCCGATTTGGCATTGGCATACTGTGCTGAGAAATGCCTTTTTGCTGTAATGTGCATGATATTTGATCTCTTAATATCCATGTTTAAATTATTCATTAGTGAAACTTCAGACTGTAAATGCTACTTTTTAAGAAAGGAAGATGTTGTGAGTTTAGTAGGATGCTACAAGCTTACCTTCCCATCAGCTGAAATGTTTGTGCTGCCTGGCTGCTGCAGGTGGTATTTCTGTCAGTGTGGGTGATGGACATGCTGCTGGATGTGATGTGCATCTGCCATATTGACAATCTCAGGTTATGTTTGACTTGACCTTGTGTTTAGATCACTATTGAAATGAATGCCAGAGGAACAGTTGAGGCATTAAACTATGATCCTAGATACTCTTTTTGTAGTAATGATTTATAGTGCTCTTATGGAGGGCATAGTGCTGTTATCAGTCCTGAGGGGCTTGGTTAAGAAAGCATGTGGCACTCTGGACCTGATTTATTTCAACAGTCTTTCCTTTGACTCTGTTTTTGACTGATAACAAGGCAGCTACTTTGAAATAACATTGAGGATTCAACTACTTAATTTTTCTTCTATGGAAAAGCAAGGGAATTTATCAAGTGGCTTAATTTTGATTGAGTACTTGGAACCCATGAACTCCAATACTGACATAATTTCAATGGCATCTTAAGTAATGATGACTGGTGAATGCAAAAATTAGCTGGGAGTGGGGGAAGTGGTGAAGAGCCATTGCTCTGTGTGTGTTGCTGAGGATTATACCATTTTCTGGACTGCTACTGATACTTTGTGAATCTGTTTGACTAGTAGGCAGATGTACCTAGAGAAGGTTACTGATTTTTTTTAACTCCCTTTTTTCCCTGCTGCTTGCTGAGCTGTAAAATGCTTATCTGAATCTATAAGCAATTAAAATACCTTTGCCCATGACAGATCAAGTTTTCAAAACCAAGCCACTGGCTAATAGTCAAAGCTGCGGCTATTGTTAATTTGGTTGAAATATAAATCCAAACGTAGAACTACTTGCAGTAGGTATCCAGTGTAAAGTAGCCCTTTAAGACTTTCATTGTTGCTTAGGTGTGTAACTAATTTTCGTTCAGATACATGACATTGTTATCCAAGTTAGGTGTAAAATTTACTGTCTGTAGAAATTTTTCGGTAATTATTTTTTAAAGTCTGTGTAAACTTATGCTAAGGTGGGCTATGAAATTACATTTGTATATATTAATGAAATATTTTTGTGTTTATACCAAGCTTGGAAGTTTTTGCTGAAGTGTGCTTAGTTATAAATCAATCATTTTAATTTTGTCTTAAGGAAAAGCAAATGCCAAGTGTCCCATTAATTTTAATAAAGAAGGTACTTTTATAATTTTCATGATTAATATTGGTCAGTAATGTCACTGATGAAAAACTAGTTTATTCTGTAGAAATAATTTTATACGAGTTAGAGGTCTTAGGAAAGAAAACACGGGAAGTGTGCACTTGATAATGTTAGAAGTAGGTAATGGAGTATGGATATTTTACACTGCTTAGAAAAGGGACTCAACACTTGGATTAGGTAGTAATGAGTAAGGCTAGGAATAGGTTGTTATTTGTAATATCTTGCCATGGTTGATATGGTAAACAGGAACTGGTAAAGAATGCAAAAAAGAGAAGTGACACAGCAGTAAACAAAGAAAACTCTTTTGGCTGCTTTTAAAGTGCACGCGACCAGAATAAGATTGTATGTCAGAGCCAATGGACAAATTACAGTAATAGTTGAGACAAAACAAAATAAGAACCTGAATGGCAGTTATGGCTTAATTGATAAGAATTAAATGTCTCATCAAGAAAGGACTTGTAAGGTTACTTGTGTGTATGAAAACATGAACTAAGACTTGAAGGGGGACTACAAGTCTGAGTAATGGGCAACTCCATGTGGCTGAACTGTCGGGACTCTTCAGTTTGAGTTTATGTTGCAGTCTGTACATCCAAAAAGGTTGAGATTGTGGTTTGAAAAACAGTTCTGTCTTGAACAGATAGGAAGAACTGAGTCATCAGTTCAGTGATGGTTATCTCATCTTTGCATGTGTTTTAAATGAGATGCAGAGCAAGAAGACAAAGTGTAAAGGATAGAGTTTTGTGGAACAGAAGAGTATTGAGAGTTGTGCCTGGATTTTGTTCTTTGAGGTCTGTCCTGTTCTATCAAGACACGTAATATCTTCATATGCCTCACTAGTGTCCACTGGAATCACTTCCCTCAACAACTTGTCACCAATAATGTTCCTTTCTAGAGGGACTTACATTGGTTTTTGACAGATCCTTTTGAACCAAACCTGTGCCTACAAAACTGATTTTTCACAGGAACAGGTCAGATCAGACTCTTCAGAGCAAGTGGCTTAGCCATCATCCTCAAACTGCCTCTATGTATCTACAGTAGGGTTACTTGTCATAAAGTGTTTCTCATGCTTGTTTTCCTCACATCTTGCTGTTAAGCTAAGGTAGTAAACTATGCTATAAACAGAATATTTATCCATGGATTAGAAGTGTTTTGAGACCACATGTGAACACTCTATAGGCATTGCATCTCATAGCTGTATGTATTTGAGACAGAGCATCCATTCACAAAGTGTGGGATTCAGTTCAGAAATGAGAGAAAATTAGGTATTAGAATCTCATCATTGTCAGTAGGTATCACTGGCTGTTATCTAAATCTCATATTCGACTATGATAAAAACTTAGTTATCAGTTGAATTTCTATCTTTATTTCAGTGACTGTAGTGGTTACATCTCTCCTGACCATGCTTGTAGCTGATATGCTAGACACATAAATTTGTCTTGGCATGCAAGTTGAGTCCTACTGCAAATTTCAGTCACTATA